CCACTTAAAAACGTAAATATGCAATGTTAAAGATTGTTATAGCAAATGAAACTTTGTCTTGTAGACAATCTCAGCATATAAATGTGATATTGAAAATACTTGGCCTTCCTTTAAATTATATATTGCCCTGTAGCCTGCACTCTTAAAAATATGGTTTAGTGGTTAACGTGTCGAGACTCTACTCTGCACAACCACAACCCGGGTTTGAACCCCGCTAGGAGTACTGATGGGACCTTGGCGAAGTCGAAACTGCAGTCAGTCATTGATGAGAATATCTTTTGAGACCCAAAGATATGCAAACTGCAGTTGAAACGTCAAGTCTACTCATATCCTTGTTAGGAAATTCAGCTACCAACCCCTAATCACCTTAGATTAAGTAGGGCAAACACAGTTTTTAATTTAAATGAGTAAGCCAGTTTGGAGGTTCCCGTCAGAATTGCACTCAGGTCTATTGCTTGTTTCCAAGAGTTCAGTCATTATAGAGTAAGGTTGGAAAAGGAAATTTTTAATGGGCAATATGAAGTCCCGAACTCTCCTGAATTATTAAAATTAGCCTGTGAATTAAGATCACTTTGGATAGCAAACAAATGATTAAGAGTAGGTAATTTTTTCTGTGTGGCCATCTGGCATCTGAAATAGCAGTTCCGAACAAGCAAGCAAAAGTCTCAAAGAGTAGAAATTTTAACTGAACAACAAAGATCAACACATATAACATATTTCATATCTTATTAAGTTTTAGAGACAAAAATATGATAGTGCTTGTGACGGGTCACTTGCATACAACTTGGAAATCAAGCAGATCTAGGCTTGCAAGTCAATATGATAATTAAAAAAATAATTACCATGACTCCTTGAAGGCCTCTTGAGCCTGGGGGCCCAGCAGGTCCGAGGGGTCCGGCATCGCCTGGTGGTCCAATAAGACCCATGTTGCCTGCAGGGCCTCGCTCTCCCTCTTCCCCTTGATCCCCCATGACCCCCATCAAACCGATGTCTCCTGGTGGCCCCATCTCCCCTGATGGACCCAGCTCTCCCTGGTACCCTTGCTTTCCTTTTGGTCCCATCTGTCCAATTCCACCTTTGGGGCCAGGGATACCTTGTTCGCCCTGGGGACCTTGAAGCCCCCGATCACCTTGCTGGCCTTTAGCGCCCACCAGGCCCATTTCACCTTGAATTCCCGGTGAGCCCTGCTTGCCTGTAAGACCGGGGTCTCCATCTGCCCCCACTGGGCCTTTATCTCCAGGCGGACCCTGCACACCTGAGCTGCCTGCGCGACCTGGTTCTCCAGTGGGCCCTCTCTCGCCAAATGGCCCTGGAGCTCCAAGAGGACCCTTTTAGCAAAGAAGAAATGTACTAGAGGGCTTACTACATGTTAGAGGTATATGCATACACGTGTATCTGCTTGACATATCGTAATATTTTGTAGCTTAATTTTCTAATTATTCTCTAACACAGGCTCACACACATAATAAACAAAGGGGTTAATTTTAGAAAGAGATTTCACGATGAGGCGTCTCGGTAGATTATGCTCAGATTTATCTCTGGCAGATGCATAACATTATGGGAAACAAAGAACAAATTAGAATAAATTATAGGATTCGATTAAAAAGCTCTCTTCTTCTCTGCTTCTCATTTTATGACAGAATAATTATCTATTTAGTTGAATTTAACCAATATAAAAATTGTAGATACGAAGAAAAACTTGGTTTCGATGAATCTTCTGAGATAAAATTGTTAGGGGGACCTTCATTTCGAATGAAAGTAGATGATGAAGAGATTCGTTTGTCGATCTCACCAGAT